AGATATAACTGTATATAATTCATTAATAAATAAAGTTTTGAAATAGGGTTTAAAATAGCATTTATTTATTATTGTAATTTGATTTTACATATTAAATTTACAATTTTCAGTGGGTTGCTTATTTTCAGATACAATGCAATTTTAAGATTGCTTATTTTCAGAGGAATACGGTATATATTATAAAAGCAGTTTAGGTTTAGTTATTTATCAAATTTTAGTCAAAAGTTTAGTTAAATACAAAATTTGATAAAATTTTAATCATAATAAAAAATAGTTTAATCAAGTATTACTAATTACTTATTAGGTAATAAAACCTGTTAAAGCATTTAAAACTTGATATTTGATCAACTATAGTATAATACTTATTTAGTAGATTATATAAAAGAATAAACATTGTATGTATATATATATAAAGCATATCTAACTTATATATGTTCTTTAGTTAAAGCTTCAGACAAATATAAAACTTGCAATTTATTTAAATAAATAGTTTTATTTATAAAAAAATGAAATATAAATATAATAAAAAAATATTAATAATTTAATCTTAACGATTTATTATATAATAAATAATATATATTTATATAGAAATTAAGTATAAAGGTTTATTAAAATAATATTATTTTAATAAGTATATTTTATAGTATTTGTTTTAAATTATTATTCAAATTTATAATTTTTACTTTTTTATTTTTTTTATAATTAATTTTAAATTTATTATAAAGAATTTTTAATTATATTTAATATATAAAAAAATAAGTTAAATAAAATATAAAATAAAATAAATAATTTAATATATTATTTAATTATTAATTAGAGAATAAATTTAATTATTTTTAAATTTTATTTATTACTTTTTTTAATTAACTATATAAATTAAATTAAAAATAAATAAAATAAATAACTTTTAATCATTAAATTATTAATTATTAATAGGAATTGTTAAAATTGCTTTTAAATTAATTTAATAATTTTAAACTTTTTAATTTAATTAAATATTTACTAATTTTATAATTTATTTATCATATAATTTAATTTTTTTAAACATCATTTTATTAAATTTTAGTACAGTCAGATTTCTATATAGTCACTTAATTAGTTCTCTCAAAATTGGTAATTATATAGAGGTGTGATTGTAAATAGGCAACCTTTATACAATCACTGTTATATTAAAAATTATATATAGTGACTATATAAAGATCATTTAATAATATAATAGTTAATTTTTAGAAAATGCTTTATTAAACATTAGTTAAATTTGTTATATTTATTAAATTGTTTAAATGTAATATAAATGCTATATAATAATATACTAAATATTATTTAAATATTATATAAAAGTTATATATAAATACTATTTACTTATTACTTATATATCAATTAAATACTAAAAAATTTTGTAATCAGAACTTGCTTTCAAGATTGCAATTTAAGTTGTCTAACTATTTTAAAATACTTATTAAAGATATTTATATTCTTTACACAGAATTTATCTGTTTGTTGTTGCTTAAAAAATGTAATTCATGTTTATAGAAATTTAAAAGTATTACTCAAAGGCACTAATATCTGTTCTTCTTTAGAGTTGTTATTTTCATTTTCATCAAGTGTTTCATTTTTAATAAGTTTTATAATATCATTTTCATTTAAAATATTCTCAGTCAGAATTTCTTCTAAATTATTAAAGAAATCATTTAATGTATTTACTAATAAAGTATTATGTGAATCATTCATATCAAGTTCATTAATCATTTGATTAATATCATCATTTTCTCTTGTTGAGTTTGTATTGCATCATCTATGTCTTTATTAGTTAAAGAAGGTAAAATTCCAGTTTTTTTTCTAACAATTCTATATTATTTCTTCAGTTATATAATTCTATGCATCTGCAATATAATTTATTGCTTCTTTAATATTAATTTTCTCTTTTAATATCTTTTTCATCTTCAAAGAGATCTAACATATGATGACAATATTTTCTTTTGAAATAATTTTTAAAGTTTGCAATAATTCTAGCATCAAGTGGTTGAAGATGACTTGTAGTATTGGGAGGTAAGAATGCTATTTCAATATGTATAAGTTGAAGTTGATGTTCATTATAACCTCTCGATTCATCACTACAACTGCTTGATCTATTACTGTAATCTTTTGATCTACTATCATAACCTCTTAATCTACCATTGTGATTTTTTGATTTACTACTGTGATCTTTTGATTTACTACTATAATCTTTTGATCTACCACTATAACTTCTTGATCCACTACTATAATCTTGACCTTTTTAAAAAAAAATAATTCAATAAATATTTATTAATTATTAATTTAAATAAATTTTTAATTTAAAAAACAACTTACCAAATATTAATAAAGATTTCATTTCTTTATCAGTATTATTTTTATCAGACTCATTTTGATCATCTTATTCAATTTTTAAGTTAGTAAATAATGTGAATTGAAATGTGATGGTACATTATCAATTAAAAGCAAAATTTTTTTATTTTGCATTTTAAAATAACTATTTATTTCATGAAGTACCTCTTCAAAAATTAAAGAGTTCATTTATGCTTTTAGATTTCTATGATAATAGACTAGAAGATGTTTTAAGTTAATTTTTGAAAGAGGTCTTAGACATTTTGCATTACTAATTACCCATAGTTTAAGCTTGTTTATTCTTATTGCATTAGTATCAAGAAGGATTATAATTCTTGATTTATTTTTTTTTGACTAGGAACAGGTTTAGTAGAAAGTATTTGGTTAGGTGACATTCAATAAAAAGGCCTTTTAATATTATTTTTAGTAATAGTAAATTAAATACTATATTAGTACATATAATATAAAAAGTATATTAAAGACTTGCTGTTTCATCAATATTATAAATTCAATTGAGAATATCTTGACCTAAAAGTAATTATAATTTTTTTTGTTCTTCTGAAAAAGATGCTAATAATGCATTTTCTGACACTCTATACATATGATACCTATGGATATTGTTATATTTTTTAAATTTATGTAGCCAACTATTAGAGAAAACCAACTTATTTTCTTATATATTAAATGCATTAGCAAAAAACTTTGCCTTTTCTTTTATTAATAAATCTGTTAAGATAA